TTCATTTTATAGCGTCCCTTGCGAGGAAAGTGTCTTTAACTTTGAAAGAAAGGCTAATTGCTCAATCACGGGAGATTAAGTTTCCCTATTTCCCTTCTAATTAGAAGCCGCGGATAATTTATTAATACTCAATCAATTAAGGTTTGTCATTAATGTATGGTGCATAATCAGTCTATAAATGCAGCCACCATGCTCCAATTATTCTCTCGTCTGCCACAATAAATTAATTTGCACGCCTCTTTGTCTACCCTGTATGTTTGGTAGGCTGGACTTTGGATTCCATGTTTACAACAAGGGAGCCGATTAACGTATCAAAAAGAGTCTAAACGCGCGTAAAATTAATATTTAGGGCAAAGGATATCTCTGTCCCCCAGTTATCAAGTATTTCAAACCGGGTTCCCAAACAAAAACAATTTTTAATTGGATTCATAAGCTATCAAAAATTACGTAATTAATCTCATCATTAAAATCTCTGATCAAACGACATTGTTAAGGACACTGAGGTCTTCATTGTTTATATTTATAAAGTAAAACTCTTTAGGGAAAGTATTTATAAAGGAAGTGCTGCGAGAACGCATGTGAATAAGCGGAAGCTCCTTCTTCGAAGGGACAACAAATCATTTCTAATCTCTGCAAGCATATCCATTTGTAGGAGGGGATAATTAGATGCTACTAGTCGTTCTTTAATTCGTCTAACTCCATTATTTGATAGCCACTTTAGGATAGCGTCTTAGCCATCAATATTGGTGTCATGTCTTTTCGGGCCTTACCCTGTTGTTTCACAACAAACCAATCAGGTTAGGGCATCTCCAACTGTCAAGATAAGAGAAGAGCTAAAAATAAAATAAAATAATTAATTAATTCTTTCTAGCTTTTCTTTTCTGCATCGCAGCTTTAAGAAGAGGCTCGAATCAATAAAAATATCAATGTTAAATACATTAAAATATAAATAGATTGTTAAGATGATTTTTTCCCACCAGAGCACACATAAATTTTTTTTATATCAAAACAGTAAAAATGAAATAACTGTAAAATCATGTAATTAGATGGCATAATTAATGAGATTTGAGTGGGAGAGTCATCTAATTAGATGGCATAGTTAATGGGATTTGAGTGGAAGATAAGTTGTAATTGGTGGAGGATGAGTGGGGAATGAGTTGGTATAATTAATGGAGTATGAGTGAAGGATGAGTTGTTAGGCATATATTCCTCCACCAAAAATAGAGAGAAGAAGAAGAGAGTGAAGAGAGAGTAATCCCACAAAATTGTGAGGTATTTGTGATAGAGTAAGTGAGGTGTTTTCTCCTAATAATAGAGAGATTCTTAGTTGTTCTCCTATTATTAGAGAGAGGTTGTAATTCCCACATTACTTAGTAAAATCCTTCTATACTTGTCTGTGGACGTAGCCCAATTGGGTGAACCACGTAAATTCTTGTGTGTTCCTCATTTTATCCGGTCTCTTATCTTTTATCTTGTCGGGTTTGCATGCTTGTTTGTGGACGTAGCCCAATTGGGTGAACCACGTAAATTCTTGTGTGTTCCATTTCTCATTTTATTCGATCTCTTATCTTTTATCTTGTCGAGTTTGCATGCCAGCATCCTAACAATGACAACGGTGATGCTTGGGAGGCTTGTGTAGGGTATCGTTTTACCAATAAGAAATGGCCATCCTAGTTGCTCGTGGGAAAGGGTTTCAAAACCTCCAATTATTGCTGTTCTAGCCATTTTTCTGGAAGCTGAAAGAGTAGAGAAACAGTGAAGACTGTTGTTCCGTATCCAGCAACCATGTTGGAGTTATAAAAAAAAATCACGCTTTTATTCGTGTAAACTAGTACAGTTTAATGGATTGACGTAGTATTTTCTACGAGATTACTGGTTGCGTGTTCTTGTAGTCTTGATTGATTTGGACTTTGTGATAATGGCATGTTCTTCGTTCATGAAAACAAGTTCATAAATATTAAAATGAATCTTTGTTTTAAATTTCAACAATTAAACTACTCTAATTCATGTCATTTTACAAAGAGATTTCTGCATTATATATCTCTTTATCGCCATTTTTTGGTAATTACGTTCAATTAAAGAATTGTTCTCCAAACGTTTCGAGGTGGTGTCAGGGGTGGACTTTGGGGAGGCTGGAAGGAACCGGGCTACAGATTTTTTTTTTGTTTGACTTTTCTTTAAATAATCTAAAATTTCAGGATTTTCTAATCTTGGTTTCCCTCGAAAAATATCATGGCTTCGTCCCTCGGTGCTGGATAAATGATTATAATACTTTAATTAAAATAAAATTAAAAATCGCTATGAATGGTAAAACTCGGATGTATGCTAGCTAAGATGTTGGTCGGCACAATTTTTTATTTCTGTTTTTAAAAGGTTATTTTTTACTTAAAAATATATGAAAATAATATTGTTTTAAAAAAATTATTCTTAATATTAGTATATCAAAATAATATAAAAATATTAAAAAATATTTTTTAAAATTTAATTAATCTTCATTTCAACCGTACTCCATAACAAAGGATATGTGTTTTTTATTTAAAAAAATAATAAATTAATATTTTTTAATGATTTTGAAACACTGATGAAAAAATTAAAAGTTAAAAAATATTTTAATATATTTTAATTAAAAATTTTATTTTAAAAAGACCTTGCACGAAATTCCAAACATCTCCTAAGTCAAGAAGGTTAAGACGTTTCCCTTGATAGTAAACAAAATGTATTCACCGTCAATCTGGGAACAACGTACCTAATCTAAATTTAACTAGGATGAGAGAGTGGTCCAGCAAAGCTATGAGAGAGCAGTCTAGCGAAGCTTTATTCCCTTTTATTTCCGTGGTTATAAAGTACTTTTATAAGAGTTTGATTTTTTTAAAAAAATAATTTTAAAATTATTTTAATAAGATATACCTGGAAGGGATTTTAAAAAATAAATAAAAATATTATTCTAACGTATTTTAAAATAAAAAATATCTTGAAAAATAATAATAAGCGTACATGGAATATAATTCTTGCCTGGAAACTTGAGCAGGAGTACCCGACCTGCTGCAAAACCTGATGCCAACACTGTTGTAACGTGAGCCTGGCTAGAATATACAGAACAGGTGGCTGAAACTACGTCACGTGTTAATTGTTTTTTATAGTAAAAAATATATCAAGAAAATATAAATATTTTTAAAATAAAAAAATGAGTTAAACTTCGTAAATTTGATGAAATTGTGACTCGAGACATGATATTTTATTAATTTTATAAAATAAATAAAAAATATTAATTTTTAATAAACTTAATGACAATAAATAAAACAAAAAATAACTAAATTAAATTCAATTTAATATTCAAAAATTATGAAATGGATCATTAAGCTAGATCGCAATATAAAAGAAATTAAAAAACAACAATATAAAATTTCTGATCAATTAAAATAATTAAGAATATAATTAAAAAAAATAGATTTAAAAAAAAATCAAATTTAATATAAAAAATAAAAGAAAACTATAAATAACAATAAAAAAACTTCATGAGACATGATATTCTATTAATTTTATAAAATAAATAAAAAATAAAAAATATTAATTTTCAATAAATTTAATGACAATGAATAAAACAAAAAATAACTAAATTCAATTCAATTTAATATTCAAAAATTATGAAATGGATCAGAAAGCTAGATCGCAATATAAAAGAAATTAAAAAACAACAATATAAAATTTCTGATCAATCAAAATAATTAAGAATATAATTTAAAAAAAATAGATTTAAAAAGAAAAAATCAAATTTAATATAAAAAAACAAAAAAAAACTATAAATAACAATAAAAAAACTTCATACCGGATTTGATATAAAAATCAGAAGTTAATGAATTGGATTGAAAAGGAAATACTAAGTTAGCAATTGATTAAAGATAACATATATTGTAATTAAAAGAATAAAAATTAAATTTAATATAAAAAAATCAAGTGTCAATAAATAAAATGAAAAAATAAGATTAACTTGATAAATAATTCAAAACCAAATAATTTATAATTAAAAAATAAATATCTAATTTAACACAATAAGCAAATAACCATACTTATTTTTTCTATTACAAAGGCTGACATGTTTTTTTAGGATGGAATAGATAAAAGAAAAGGATGGGGAAAACATGTTATATGAGCTTAACCATTGGTCTTCTAACCCTACAGGTCTTACCTTGTGATAAAGGCAATGATATATATCAAATATTGCTGTCATTAACATATGTTTTGGCACTGCACTTGCCATATATAGCTCAGGCACGTATTTGTCACACGATTACTACTTATTGATTTAAATAACATTTTATACATATTAGAATACTCAATTACATCTCACCCTCCATGAAAAGCAGTATCATTATATCCTAAGCTAAAAAAAAATTGTTTTTTTATGAGTATCCAAGTAAGTTAATAATTACTCCATGAGAAAGGTAAAAAATCCCTCTAACCCCTTTATTTTCTTTAATGACCAATTTGATGAAAAATATATCTCTACCCCCTGATACTAAGATAAGTAAGTTTACTCTTCAAGAGTAAGAAAATAATTTCATTAAAGCGTTGGAAATAATAACAAGGGAGTATCTGAAGTCCAATAATAACAAGCGTTGGAAATGAGGGAGAAGGGGAGGTGGCCGGGAGTATTTTAAACAAGGGAGTATCTGAAGTCCAATAATAACAATAATAGCTAATAAAAAGGCCATACAAAATTAAAGATAAATCTAGTCAATAAAAAGAGTTTTGAAAAGTTCATCCAGGAAACATAAAAAAGGAGTCAAGAAATCAATGAAGGAAGTCAACCTTTCTCACATTAAACAAGATCTTGCTAGTTGTACTTCACCCACCCGAAAGGTCTTTCATTCTTGAATCCCGAGAAAATTAAAGAAACAAATTATCAATAAAATAACAAAAAAATAAATAATTTTATTAATTCCCCGTCCTCCTGCTATGATATTCTCTCTCCTATATATCTATAGCAAGCATGAGCAGGCACCTCACCCTTTCTCACCTCCTTTCCGGTCTCTCCAGCTCTCAAAATATTCCTCAGTCACCTCTTCTCTTCTATATCTTCCAGTGCTCCTCTTCCTTATTTTAATTTCCTTTGTCCTGTGTCTCCGAAGATATATAATTATAGACATGGTAGTAGCATCCCCAACTCAAATTCACGGGGAAAAACTCCTGGCCATTGAGCTCCCTGTAATAGATCTCTCAGGGGAGAGATCAATGGTGTCCAATCTCATTGTCAAAGCCTGTGAAGAATATGGTTTTTTCAAGGTAAAAAACCATGGCGTTCCTCATGACATCATTGCCAAAATGGAAAACGAAAGTTTGAACTTCTTTGCCAAAACATTCGATGAAAAGCAAAAGGCTGGGCTTGCTAATTCCTTTGGTTATGGCTGCAAAAACATTGGCTTTAATGGTGATACAGGAGAGGTTGAATATCTACTTTTTAATACCAATCCTCTCTCCATTGCTGAAAGATCCAAAACCATCTCCAATGACCCTACAGAATTCAGGCAAGTGCTTACACCCTTTATATTTCTCTGAGCTTTTCATTTATTGTATATGAAAATTTAACACTATCCCCATTTATTTATCTAGAGTTTATTTTCTCCCTTTTTCTTTCTTGAAATTACGTTTGCAATGTTAGTTACTTTCATGCATGTATTTGCTCGAGAGTCACCAACCTCTTGAAGAAAGTGCAAGATAGGTTTTTTTTTTTTTTTTCTTGAGTGCTGCCTTGAGAACCCGAGGTAAAACATGTTTTAGCGAAGCTATTGGTAAAAGATTGGTGAACAAATAACAACAAAATGATGCAAAGCCTATAAACTGAGAAGCCCACTACTACTACCAGCAAAGTACTAGCTTTTTTTTAAAATTCAAATTAGATTTATTTTCGAATTTTGAAAATGATGCTACCATGCAAGTTGCTAATTCAATGTCCCGGGCACTTCTATATATATGTAAACATAGTGCTGGCTGGGAACTTTCTTGAAATTGAACTGTATCTTTTAAACCTCTTGTATTCAAGTGCACCTGACATTCCTAAAAATGCAAAAATCTTCTCTGATTTGCTGGGAGAATCTTCCTTAATGAATTTCAGGGTGAAACAAGTTGCTTTTTGTTAATATTTTATGTGAGCAGAATACCCGTACATGTTATCATAGGAATTTCTTTAATCATCCTTGGTAATGCATGGTATGAAAGGAACATGAAAATGAAGAGATCTAGGTTTCCATAAGTAGAACGCTAGCTATGAAATTTTGTGCAAGCTAGCGTGACTATTAGCAATCATCGCTCAGTAATAATTATTCACGTCTAATTTGCAGTAATTAAGCAAATTTATGAAATTAGTAAGTTACAGCAACACTAAGTATCGAGATAATTGTATAAATCATACAAAAAATCAAGAATATTACAAAACACTCCATTTTTCTTAAAAATAATAGCAAAAAATTAGATATAAAATCTGTACTGTTTACTATTTTTCTCATAAAAATGTAAGAGGCAGGTTTCGTAAAATCTTTAAAGTTTTGAACTCTACCTGCAATTCCAAAATAATGTTCTAAGGAGTTATTGTAATTTATCATTAACAAGATTATGCATGTAAGAAGAGCGATCGATTTCAACTCCATCTCTCTTGATAATTTTTTAAAAAGGGACCAACATTCGTGATTTTTATGAAATTGAATTTAAAACACCAAATCACATGGGAATATGGAATTATATGTCCTCCTCGAAGGTGGGATAACATGTCAGAACTTCTTTCACTTGAGAGTCGAAACATTCTCCATTACTGCTTGGAAGACTGTTTTTTTCCCCCCAAACAAGAGAAGTTTTATGTATTCAGATACTAGGGTTGATTTACTGGTTAATGTCTTCTTAAGTTGAATGTTCGGTAATCTAAAAAAAAAAAAGGAGGTATAGAAGAAAAAGATGGTGGTTGGTTTAAAAATCATTCAGTTTCTTTTTTTATAAACCAATCAAATTTTTTATAAACCAATCAAAAGTTTCTTTTGACTAAAAAGAACAGACAAATATTACCTCCAACCTCTATGCTCATCTATCTTGAATGTCGTCAGCATGCACATGTAAAATTTATCTAGTGGCAACACACATGATTAAGTGTTTCTTTTTCTATATCACAATCACAATTAACCCAAAACATTTGAAAAGAAAATGAAGATAAGGTAACTTATTTGCATGAAAAAAAATGGAGAATCAAAATGCACAAGTCAGGGAGATTGTGAAATCTGGGGGAATGGCTTCGGTGACTTGTTTTCGCCAAATAATGCAATACTGGAATTTATGAATATTAGAGAATCTGGGAAAAGCGAAGGAAAGGCAGGTCTAGTGTACTTTTCTAGACGTGTGACTTGTGGCTTCGTCTTTTTTCTTTTTTATTTTTAATCCCTCCTAGCCTGTTGTTATATTCACCGACGTCGACGAGGCGTGATTTTTGTTCTCTCTCTCTTCTATTTCTGTGATACAGCTCTGCTATGAGCGGCTACATAGAAGCAGTTAGGGAGCTGGCATGTGAGTTATTAGATCTGATGGCAGAGGGATTGTGGGTCCCAGATAGATCGGTGTTCAGTCGACTAATCAGAGATGATGACAGTGACTCAATCATCAGGTTAAATCACTACCCTCCCATACCTGTACTCTGCAAGGATAAGGACTCCTCGTCACCTTGTAACCACAACAAGGTAGGATTTGGAGAACATTCTGACCCTCAGATCTTGACCATCTTAAGATCCAACGACGTGGGTGGCCTTCAGATTTCCCTGAAGGACGGTGCCTGGGTTCCAGTAACACCTGACCCTTCTGCCTTCTGTGTTAATGTGGGTGACTTGTTACAGGTTGGTCTCCAATTTTTATACTTTTCTCTCTCATCTTGTAATCAATCATAGGGCGTGAAAACGTTGATCTGGACTTGATGGAAGCTACTGCTACTCTAGCTAAGCTAGCTAGCTAGCTAGCCAGTAACCAGGAGGCTTCGGATTTGGTTTCTTGATGCCAATGCGGCCCAGATCAACGTCAGTTGGGAATGAATAATTGAATCACTGAGTGCCCGTTTAGAGAACGGTATCCTTTGCTTTTTAGTATTTTTAAAAGAATAGTTTTTGTTGAAAATATATTAAAGCATTTTTTATTAATGTTAATGCATTAAAATAATAAAAGAATTTTCTTGAAAAATAATGTAATATATATATATATATACATATATATAATTTCAACCAATAAACACCAGCTAGATTCAGAACTATTGGAACTGAAAAGTACCTGGCCGTTGGTTGGCCCTTTTATGAGGTGTTTAGAACCGGACTTGAGATTACCGAGGAAATACTTCTGTTCCCTGACTTCACCATTTCCAAGAAATTTGCTGTGGAGTATCGTTTTTCCTGGGTCTCTTCGTTGTGAAAATGAAATTGATTTTTTTTTAATTGACAATGACAAAGATATGTTACTAAGGTCTTTACAGAACCGGTTTTCTTGTGGAAGTTTTTTTCTTGAAATTTTCATTTTCAAGAACTAAATGCTTGTTATCGTCAACATCATTAGCTAGTTCTCATGGAAATCTAATTCTAATTTCTCTCTCAAAATTTTGCAGGCAATGACAAATGGGAGATTTGTAAGTGTGAGGCACAAAGCCCTAACCAACTCGTACAAGTCTAGAATGTCAATGGCCTATTTTGCTGCACCCCCACTTAATGCAAGGATCGCCGTTCCACCAGAAATGGTTACACCCATCAAGCCTGCCTTATACAGGCCTTTCTCCTGGGCTGAATTCAAGAAAGCTGCTTTTGCTCTGCGACTTGGAGATAGCCGCCTTGGTCTATTCAGGATGGAAGTAGTTGAGCAAGTTGCTTGATGAGTTTTTGATAGCTTAGTATTATGGAATATAAATGTTTAAATATCTAAGTTTAGCGTCTTTCTGTACCCCTGAAGGGGAATTTTGCCGTTTGATATCCTTACCATTGCTACTGTTTATCCAGCGAGAGACTAGTAGCTTTTGGTGGGGTAATGGTATGTAAAACTGTAGTTTTGCCGTTAGTGTAAAATTTTCCCTTTTGAATAATATTTAGTGGCCAGTGGGATGGTGGTTAGCTCTATCATGGATTCTTTTGAATGTTAAGAAAGACAAGAATAGAGAAAGCCTTGATAGGATAAGATGTTAAATGAAGCTAATCAAGACAATATAAATTTGAATCTGGAAAATCGAGTTACTGATACCAAACTACTTCAAGAAGAAGTGCATCAGTAAAAGGTCAACGACAATGCCTGGGCTGGAACTATCTATTTAGTTACTAAAAGGAAAGATTAATCATATATGAGGAACAGAAGCTTATACATAATGTCAGAGTTTAAAGAAATTTAAGAACAAAACCATCCACATCATTACAAGCAGGTTAGAGGCTCTAACAAGACAGAACCATCTAATTCAAATCAGTCATGCGCTCCAATGAGCAATCAGAACTTCAGAATGCCTGGTCTGTTATCATATCACCTAAAGCCAGCCTCGAAAATGTTGATCTAGGGCTGCAAATGTTCTTTTCTGTTATTGTTTTATCAGATATTGCTCCCGAGTCAGGAAATACCTAAACAGGCACGAATTTGAGATCATGCAGCAAGGCAAGAACACTTCTACTGACCAGTTCTGCTCACTGCACAAACACATATCTCCAGGATCTCGTAATCCTCATCCCATAACAGCAAGGATGCCTTCTCTGGGCTCTCTAAAATCATCTTTGAATGTTAGGAAACCAGAGACTGTCCATGTCTGACAAAGCCTGGGTTGTTCGCCTATAAACCTTCCACTGTGCGTGTAATAGTATCTGGCAACTGATCTACTGATAACCTCTTCTCTGCCAATAAAAACCGGCTTTTGTGCCAACTCTGGTTTCCCCATTTTGATACAAGCCATTGTGAACTGGAACAACAAGCAACATTGCATTATGGAACGCATTTACACAACTCGATAACATCAATATAGGCCAACACCCAAAAAATAATATTCAAGTACCACAATTTTAAGTCTTTAACGAATATTACCTGCCACAGCTTGGCTATCCACGAGCTGACATTTATTCAGTGGTCATTAATCCATATGCGCATTTTCAAAAAAAAAATAATTTCATCCGGCTTGGTTTACATTCAAGAATTAAGTTTGTAAGAGAAAAATGTTGTTAATTAAATATATTTATAAAAAACAAATAAAAAATAATTTTAATTAAAAAAGAATTTTACCACCCATTTCATAATCTATCTTGTAAATTAAAAAAATATTATTTTACCATAAATTGATTATTTTAATATATTTATTGAAAATTATATTTTACATAATGTTTATAGACTTGATTGTATTTCAATTATACTTCATAATATTCTAAATGAAAGTTAATTTAGCCGCCTCATAATATTATTTAGAGGCGGGATTAATAAATGAAGGAGCTAGAATAGCGCCACTCTAATATAAAAATGCTCAACCATCAACCAGGCAGGGGGTCATAGTAGCATAGGGTATAATTGTTAAATCCAGCTTAGCCACCCATGTTAATCTAGATTAAATTTGTAATTAGACTGGTCGTGTATGAATTTAATTAAACCTAGTTAATTTGTCAAAAATTGATTAAACTGATTAAGTTAAAAGATTAATTTTTTTTTAAACATCAAATTATTTAAAGTATGATTTAAATCTTTGGTATTTTTTTTGGCTAAAATTATTTTGTTAGCTCACCAAAACTAATACACGCGACATAACTTAGCTTTAGTTATATATATATATATATAATTTTGATATTGTATATTATTATAATTAATCAACTAATTCAACCCACTAACCCTAACCTAGGGAGTTGATCCACAATTCAATGAGCTGAACTAAGTCGCAGGCGGATCTTAACAACTACACCATTAGAGATTTTGACTCATGGTCAAAATATTTGTTTTGTTTTGCGGGAGCTTAGCTCTGATAGCTGGTTGGCTCACTTTTTTCATAATGGATCTTCAAAAAATTGTTCACTTTAATATTGATAATGCTGGAACTCAAGCATTGTTCTTGAAATACAAGTGAAGAATACAAAGTCATGGCATTTAAGGAGCGGTTGGGAAATCATTTAATAAAACTAGCAACAGATTAGTTCAATTGCCTTTCTGAAAAAATAAAAGAAGTTTTCAGTACTTAGCAATTCTCTTTATTCAATAATCCAAAGGTAGTTAAAATTATCTTTTCCAGTGTTAGCTCACACTCATCATTCTCAACACGACGACTCTACAACTTTGTATCATTTAGACCGAACACAGCTGAAGAAGCTCTCTGTGTGTGCCTAGTAGTAAACTATAGCGGATAGAACTGAAACTCACAGCACCGTATCGTAGTGAAAAAATAATGGGAAAGCAAAAGGATACATATCCTAATTTATATTGCAAATCGATATGTATATATATAAGTTGACAGTCCTGTATATCTAATAGAATATCATTGGCCTGAAGGATATCTAATAGCTACTGTATAGTTATGAAAGCTATTCTGTACAAATGGGACTGGCCTTTCTTGAACTGGACTGCTTAAAGCCGAGTTACATGAGATGTTGTAAATATCTATTTCGCACCTGGTCTCGTTAGTTTTAATAATTTGCATGCGTGCCTGCTTATACTGAACTACCCAATTCGACTCATGTTCAACTTGTTGCAAGCTAAATTTTTGGCAGTCCTGAACCTCCAACATCGCAGTTCATGAATGTCTACATGCCCCTTTTAGACAGTAAAACATTTAGCACTTAATTGAAGATTTCGGATCAGGTGATTTCTCCTGGCTGTAAGGTTATTTCCTTTTGGCAGACATATCAGAAGCAATATTTGATTTCCGTATAAAAGTTACTTCTCCTCAGCCTTATATGGTTGAACTAATGCTTCACAGTACACTTGCAGCACTCTCTCTTTGATTAGGTGTAGCAATCTATGCCATGACAGATACATGCGGTCTATACCACTTGCAGAACAAGTACTTGACGTAAGGAAAGTTCAAAGAAATTGAGAGGAACACAAAATGGAGAAAAGCATGATGGCAGCTTCTGATGTCCAGTTTTACCACAACATAACAGAAGTGGCTAGGGATTCCTTCAGCTCGGAAATAACAAAATTCACAGCAGATGGAAAAATAAGATTCAGAGATGATAAAATAACCAAGACTCTTAATTACGCACTGATTCCAAATATTAAAATGTAGAAAAATACCAAAACTTCTTGATTGATCAAGCATTACACACACACACACAAGGTAGCCCCACACCTCACGTTTGAATAGGAACCCCAGTCCAAAAATGCTTCTTTACGGTCACCGCCCTGGAAGAATACCTGCCAGCATCACAATCCTTGTACTTATCCTCCTCGATACAAAAACCCTCATCAGGCAATCCATCTACATAAGCATTCACCCAATGCAGAGTGCACCTACTAGGCAATCCTGAATAAGAAATCGAACCACTCTTATCTCTTACTTTCTCTCGTAAAGATCCTGGAGCAATCCTCATAACATCCTCGACATTCACATTATTAGGCAGCATTCATCCAAGCTCTCTTCTTTCACAGCTCTATAAGCAGCAGTCTCACTGCTTTCCCCTGGCTCCCTCCCTTGTGGTCGAAAGGAATCATCAGAGAGTTCGTGCTGAGCTTCCAGTAGTATTTTCTTGGTGCCGCAAGAGGAAAGGATGCGGACAATCATGCAATGGACGACACAGAAAGAGGACATGGAGTTTTCAAGGACTGTCTCGCCCTCAGAGATTTCAAGCCAGAGGTTTTGGATATTTTTAGTGCCTGGTTTTACTCCCCATGATTTCCCATCAGTGGTTGAGATACATGGCTTCAGCGAATCTGATAGAGCTTCTAGTGAAATAAAAAAACCGTTTGGATTTATTCGAGGTTGTAGTGGGAATTAAACTCGGATCCAATAAATTGGAATCCTATCCAACCGGTGATGTTGGCCTCGAAACTAAATCAAACTTTCAATGCCAGCCGAGATACGTCAAACCTGTCCGACAATGCATTATTAAGCCCAACCAAATACTATGATTCAAGAAACGAAGGCGGAAAGGAAGAGTTTGGCCCGTAGCGTCTATAGAGAAAATTATGGACTCATGAAATAGAACTTATTTAAACTTTTAATTAAGCCCATATACACATCACGGGGAGAGAAAATTATAAGCCCAGCAATAAATAAGCATATAGTTTACTTTCGAGATATACAGGTTTGATAAAAGCAACTTGTAGTTTAGGATAAACTAATCTATATATTTCACGAAGATAATTGTTCTAAGCTTATCGAGTCAGAAAATTCCATGTTGAATTCAACGTTTTTCGATGATGTCGGCAGTGACTCAATTTTCTTCAGTATTCAATGCATCACTCCACCTGAATAATTAATTAATTTTTCTTTGTCATTCAAGCTCAGCGGACTGATCTGTGATTTTGTTTGTAGTCATAACGCTAAACATGAATTAAAGTCAAAGTGCTAGGCTGCTAATGTCACTAACTATCATTTGTCTGGTTATAGCAACCACGTTAGTTAATTCTAACTAATATGAAATCTCCAACTTTCTTTTGTGGTTGCATATGTAGTTGGGTGTTGACCTTAATTTCTTGCAATAGGATCTCTTTTTCAGACCACTAAAAATGGAAGCGTAGAGAATTTGATCAATCGTCTCCTTTTATTATTAAAATCATGGGATTAGTTTGCATATGCTAACCTTGTTTATTATTATTATTATTATTATTATTATTTGAGAATGAAGATATTGGCATCTTAAGACTACGTCAAGGAAACAGCCAATATTTTGGCAAGTAATTACTTCAGCTTTTAATCGCGACAAGCTTTTTTGAACAATTTGTGACAAATGAGAAATACATACGTCATCGATCGACCTCAATAAACTTTTCTTGGAATGAGATTTCTGTCATTGTTTATTGTACTTTTTTTTATATAAAGAATTCCAACAGAATTTCACTGCCAGCTTAATTTTGATACTGAGATGATGAGAGTCTTGATATATAGCTTGTAAGTTATAGCTTTCGTCAAGCATCATCTTCATTTTTCGTGTCAATCCCTTTCCATGCC